ACTTTCATTAATACACTAACCATCGCAAATTTGCAATTCAAACATAATTTGTCCCTCCAAACTCCCAAGTATGTTGGGGACTTTGTGTAACAATCTTCGATTGGAGAGAATTTTTCCTGCCCCCCGTGAGGTCCCTTGTGACTCTTCCTCGTGGTCACGAATCATATGTTTAATTCTGAGCCATGTATGTTGATCATATTCATCCATCTCAGATACAGAAACCTTAGCACCCATCTCACCCTAGTCCGAAAAACTCGGACAAAGAAGCAGGGTTCCACTGATTCTTGGTTACACTCGCACAACATCAATGAATTTGGAGAAAATGGAAATGGATTGAACAAGCATCAACAAGATCATACTTAGATGATTAATCAAAGTAGGCCAAGAAATACATGGTAATTGGGTTATCAGATGAACTTACATATTTACATATACATTGCTTTCTTTTACCTAAAAAAGATTAAAAAAAAGAAGAAGAAAAAAACCCATAAGAGAGTTTTGTATACAGAAATCAGTTGAAAGGGAACGCCACTTCCTCTAATCTTCAGATGCAAAAATACATGCGTGACCATAGAAGACAACAACTGGTTCCAAAACTGCTAAATGAGAAGCCAAACCTAGCTATATTCAATCCGCTCTTATTTTGTCCAGTGCCGCCTCCACCCATTGGAAAAACATGAGTTTGGGTGTAATTGTTAGCATTTAGGGTGAGTAGTCAAATGGGATCAGTTCTACACATGTGTTGTCAGGCTGCCGGTAGTGGGTACACGATTTAGTTGTATAATGTGTGTCCTCAAGCTACAGTCCTTAACCTATTGTCAAGATTTTTAAAATGAACCGCTTGAGCAGATGAAGCAGAAAATATCTTGGAAAATACTACAACAAAATGCCATATTTACCTGAATGGCTGCTAATGTGGACAAAAAATCTTTACATTGTTCGAGCAAAATCCTTTCCTTTGCTGTCACACTCACAAGCTCAGCCACTAAAGAATTCATTTCCTCCACCTGCAAAGGACAAATGATTTCAGATCATTTAGGCAGATTTGCCCCTTTAAAGTGCAAGTTCAGGTTAAACATAGAAATGACAAGCTCCACCAAACTATAAGATTTCCTTCTTTCTCCTCTCTTCTTTCACCCCTTGTTTCAGGTGTGCAGGCTCCATTAGAGTTTTTTTCCCCTTTCTTGTCCAGGTATATTTCAACAGCATTATGTTATATATGTTCCGTCAAGGTGTAACACTAATATTACAAACTTAGAAATGACCTCAGCGGCTGCAAAACAAGATGCGCCACAGGCAAAAAATCAGCATGCATTTGGTGCCTCAGGTCAGGGATGAAGGAGAAGAATGCTGGAAAGTCTGAAGAATGAATAGATATCTGTTTTTTAATGGGAACATTACTAAATATCTCTGGACCAGCAATAACAGTTCCTGTCAACAAAAATGTCTGATCTGACTGTTGGAGAGAATCCGATCAGCTGGAAGGGATTTGTCAATTAACTTTCTCTTCTTTGGGCATTACATTTAAATAAACAGTTCTCTTTTCCCATAATAGAAAGCCCACCAAAGTGGTGTATTGCATCCCTGTTTTTAAGGCCAGCTTATAGATGGTGTCATTGCCTATCTAGCCTCAAAACTCTTATTTGTGGTTGAGTGATTTATTCATTCATTTCGGAGCACACTCTTATCCATCTACAATTTACATTACTAGCCTAGGCATTAAATCAAAGTCAACAAACAATCAAAAGGGAAAAGGCAAAAGTACAAAATGTAAGTAGCGTGTTAATGCCGTTCCTGTGTCAGAAAGCAGATTACGGTCAGATATAGCCCACTAAACCATATGATCTGAATTACAAGAATTTTTTAACTTTTAAATGCACTTTCCATATTCAACAGCTATAATCAGTTTTCTTTTACCTAATGCCAAAACCCAAATGAAGGGCTTGTTACAGAGCTTAGATCAAGCCTTTAACTGGCTCAATCAAGCAAATATACGTATTAAAGAAAACAAGCAAAACGTGAAATACATCATAACAAAGTAATTTCTAAAGCTCTGTTTGATTGATGCTTTAGCTATTTGTTATTTGTTTTCTATTCATTTTTACTTTTTGCCTTTTGCTTTCTGCTTGTGTTTTGCCAAAAAAAAGGCAAAAAGCAAATAGCAAAAGCAACTGGATAGCAAAGTCTAACTTTGTTATTCTGTTGCTCTTATTGATACACAACAGCAAGAACACAACTTAAGAACTTTCTTGTGTTTGTGGCATTTATTTATAAACTTCACTAAAGTAGCAGAAATACAAATAATTACCACATGGAAGAAGTTAATGATTTTTTTTTATCACTAGTGTCTACAAGATTGAATTAATAAATTTTACCTTCAATGATAGTAAGCATATTGAGGATGCCATTGCCTGCATCACATCAACAGCTGAACTGACAGCATCCTTCAGATTTTGAATATCCGCCTATTATGAGAGAAAACAGAAAAGGGGAAGATAAGCAAGAGCAACATTTTAAACCACACTGATAATAATGAGCCAAATCATTAATATATTGTACATTGAAAAGCAGGGGAAAAAGAAAAACGAAGAAACTTACAATTGCTTTTCCAACTATTGGAAGACGAAGAGTACTGGCCTTTAAAGCTTCAGTTGCTCCTAGCAAAGAACTAGAGTGATCTCGGTCAAGGAGGGCCCATTCTTCTAAATAAGCTATCTACACTCACAATTATAACAAATTTTAGTCATGATGAAGAGAAAATTCATGATTTAAAAACCAGCATCTTGTAACTGAGAATGGAAAGGACGAGAGCTGTTCTAACAAGTATGCAATAAGAAGTAGAGAAAGGGCAACATGATGAACTGAGGAAGAGTCAAACATCAAGTCATCAACTGCCTTTTTCCTGCTGGGATTGAAATATATATAACACAAAAGTTTCTCTTCCTGACTTTCCAAGATTTCTTTGCTTATTTTCGTTTTGTCTTCCTCTCACTCCAGAAGGTGAACAAAAATCAGACATCACTAAATCACTGTAACATTCACTACTGCAGACAAGAATAATTAAAGGATACAGTACACTAACACCCCTAAGTTTTAACCATAATTCCACGCAGGTCCATTAGTTTCGAAATAGACAATCCACCCCACACGTGTAAACGGCATTAACATGTAACTGTGAAATGTCTAAAATACCCTTCTTTCTCCACCCTTTTTCAAAAAAAAAAAAATCTCTCTACCCTACTTCTCACCTGCTGGCTACCCTGTGGCCGGGGAGCACCAGATCTGGCCATATTGTGCTCCCTTGGTGCTCCCCAAGGGAGTGCTGCCAAGCTGAGACTTGCAGAGCAATTTTTTTTTTTTGAAAGAGAAAACAATTTTAAAAATGAAAATTATAGTTTATATAGTGGTAATTTTTAAAATTAATGAAGGGTAAAATTGCCATGTCGTCAAACCAACGAAGACATTGACAGTTAACTAAGGGCAAGACTTATGTGTCCAGCAAAAATATTTTTCTGAAACGGACTATCCATTTTGAAAACTAATAGACCCACGTGTAATTATGGTCAAAAGTTCGGGGTCTTAGTGTTTTTTACCCATAACTAAATCTAGTTTACTTTTTTCCATTTTTAGTGTTTTGATTAGGACCAATATTCAGCACCTACTCAAGATGTAAGTAAATGGTAACTGCTTCTAAAGTAGGTTTCTATGGGGATTAGTAAAGCCCCAAGGCTATGTATAAATGCCACAACTCCCTTAGACCATCATTGAAAACTTTAAAGAACCTCATTATAATTAACCAAGTCTCAATTTGATAATTTCCTTCTCATCAAAACTATTCCTAATAATGTTGCTTTTCTTTACTTTTTATCTATATGGAACTCAACTGAAACTGATGCAGCACATGCTTTGTTCTGGAATATGAAAGCATGGATACAGACATGGGTTATAGGAATGATATGGACCAACCAGATCGGATTCAAAACCCTTCTCTCCATCATACACACTCTTCTAGTCTCCCCCTCTCCTCTCTGACTGGCCATTAGTGGTCTATCTCTCTTTTCGCATCTCTGCTCCCTTTTTTTTTTCCTCATGAAAATATTTATTCCAGATCAGATCTATCTTTTCTTCTTTCCTAGTCTCTCAAATCGACCCCATCCCTCTTTTCACCTATGATGCTCTTGCGGTCATTTACCAGTCAGAGATCTTCTAATGATGTCCTTTCCATATCCCCTAGCATATCCTTACAAAAACCAATCTTTTTTAGTGTCAGAGTGTGTAAGCATTTTCAGGCATCTGATGTCCAGCATGAGTATGGCTACTTCTATGGATGCCCATGCTCAAAATTCAACAAAAACATTGGTCCTGGCATGTATGAGGATGTATCACTAATTTTTCTAGAAGCCTTTAAGACCATTGCTATAAAATGTTCCATAGTGCAACAAAGCAATGCTCTCCCCTCCCCCCCCCTGCCCCCCCTCCTTTTCCTCCTTTCACGGGATTGGAATAACTGGCTGGATAACTCTAGTTCATGTGACTGCATATGAGCAGTGAGTGTCAGAAATGTAACTTAGGCCCTAAGAGGTGGAAATAGGTGAAGCATAGCATCACATGAAGCTTAACAATCAACATAATGGAATTTATTGAATCACATTAACATCACTTATCATTGAGCTCAGAAACTCTTGCTGGAGCAATAAATGTAAAAGATGAATGGCAATGAGCACATAGGTATTACAACTATTGGGGTTTCTAAGATGAAGAATCAGAAAACTCAGGCGGGATTAACTTGAATGACAAATAACTAAACGCAGAGGCTGGTTTGCAGTCCTGCCAAGATTCATGCGACAGTTTGTCTATGCATTTTGGTTTTGAAATTCATTTACTACTAAGAGCAAACATA